GAAAGATGTCCCTGCCCATGGCAGAGGGATTGGGTTGGATGATCTTTAAAGGTTCCTTCCTTCCAACCCAGACCTTTCTATGATGTTGTGAAATAAAAAAGAATGTTTAATAAAACTTGCCCCGATACTTGCAGAGAATGACTAGCAGACGCTGAGAATCTATGGTGGTGTTTGATGTGTAGTGCATCATAAACCTTCCCAAACTCCTCCTGCACTCCTGTCTTCAGCTGCCGCGGCGACTCACGCGTTGCTGGATGCTGCTTTTCTGAAAAACTTCACCCTAAGATGAGAAACCTTGAAAAGCGTCGTAATCAGAAGGCAAAACCCACCGTGCTGGAGATTGAGCTGGGAGTAGAAAGGCAGTTCAGTCTTACCTGGAAGACACGAGTACGAACTGACTCTGAGCGGAGCAGAACAGTGTGTGTCTTACAGGACTTTGTTTTATGGCATTTGTAGGGGCAACTTACACAATTGCTGCCTTACAGCTTTCCCAGCGCGATTCAGAATCGAGCAAGGAGTGTTGTCACCTGCAGAGTTTTGCAGTCCTGAGCAAATCACGTGCAATTGTGTGACAAGAACCTTCTAAGGAATTTTTTTCCCCCTCCCTCAGAGTACAAATGTGAAGCTGCAGGTTTCTGTGGGAGCTCCCTTGGACCAGGAGCCTTTGACAGATGAGGCGGTAGCCTGGTGGTCGAGATGCTGGTGTAGGATGCTGAGACTTGAGTTTGGAAAGTGTCCATCAAATGCGTTGTGACCCAAGGGGGAGAGTCCAAGCTGATTCTAGACTGGAGGACCTGAGCTCCAGGTTCTCATCTTCCAGAAGAGTGATTAAATGATCAAGTCATTAGCTTTTAAGAGACAGAAACCTCCCCGTTTTGACTTGAAATTGTCCGCAGACTAGAGCTTTTCTGACCTGTTTCATTCTGACTTGGGCTTTTGTATGAAGCAGAACTTCAGAATTGCTCCACTTCTTCCTGTGGTTAAGTTTTGGGTTGTTTACACAAAACTGTAGACTTTTTTCTTTCAGTTACGCTGTATCCCAATGCTAGGAATCTTCTTGAAGTTCTCAATATTAAGGTCTTGGGTTAAGCCACACCAGAATGAATTTGTGTGTTCCTGTGCAGTATTTTCCTAGTTTGAGCTCATGATCTTCTGTTCTACCAAGCCAACCACACTTGGCGTGTTCTGTACTTTGTCTCTGCTTGTTTTGGGTTGTTTGTTGGGTTTTTTTTTTGCTAGAGGAGAGACTAAAGTTGTCTTTGTAAAGCTTTCTCTTTTGTTTCCTAGGAGAGATGATGCTTAAGCCTAGTTTGGAGCTCTGCTAGGCTTGAAATAGCTCTTTGACAAAATCTAATCTAGATTTTTCCCTGTGCCATTATTAGGTCACCAAATCCTAACTGAGATAAAACTTCTGAGGAGGTGTGTCCCCAGTCTCCATAAATTGACTTATGGTGGTGGATACTTCAGATAAGTAGGCTTACCATCTTCAAATAAGCCAAGAGGAAAACGATTATCTTGCAGTCAGACTTTCTTGGTATGATTTTCTTATATATGGAAGGGACTTTTGTAAAAAGTTGTGTAGAGAACTGTTTCCATTAAAGCATTTTGTGCATCTGCTCTGCTTCGGTGCAGTGCACAGGAGATACCAGTAAACTGAGGATTACAGAAAATGAACGCCCAACACCAGCTAATGTCTTCAGGAGCTTAGAGATGGATCAGGGCTTTTCACCAGCAGTTTTATATTGGTATGGCAGCATGTGTTGGAGCCCATGATCTCAATAAGCTCCTCTGTAATGCTCCTCTACGTTAAATTGTACTAGAGTTTCTGTTCTTGCAGGTCTGAGGTGCTAGACAAGGAGTACGAGATCGTGCTGACGCGTCCCTCTTGTCTAATGATGCTAATAGAGCATCATTTCTTGGACTTTTAAACAACCCATATGCAAAATATCAGCAAGTAGTACGTTATTGCAGCACCTTAATGGTGTTCTGCATAAATATGCTTGTTATCCTCTTACTCAGAGGCCTGCTAGCATTAGTAGGAACACTTTAAATAAACGCTTCATAAAGGAATAACTTAATGAATGAACCAAGGGTTATAGAATCACAGAACGGTTTGGGTTGGAAGGGACCTCAAAGATCATCCAGTTCCAACCCCCCTGCCATGGGCAGGGACACCCTCCGCTACACCAGGTTGCCCAAAGCCTCATCCAACCTGGCCTTTCTTGGTTGGCACCAAGAGAGGTGTCCCAAGCACAAGAATATACTGACTGCTGTTAAAACACTTGCTTCTCTTTCAAGGTGCATGTATCAGCACATGGTAACAATGACTTTTCCTTTTTTTTTTTTCAATTCTTTTATTTTCGTTCCTCGTTTTAGTCTCGCTCGTATACCTGTTAGGCTGTTACCTAGTCTTCTGTTGCAGATGCTGATGTTAGATGGGATGAGAACTGGTCTGCTGCTACTCAAAAAGCAACCCGTACCGCAAGGGCGCCTGGCTGTGTTTCGGCAGGACTCTGCGGATATCTCTGCAATAGCTATTTGAATGCCAAACAGGCAGTAAATAAAAAGTTACAAGCTTGAAGAGCTCAGGCGAGTCAGCCAGAAGAGCAAACAAAATGAGCGATAGCAGGAAGCACATAGTTGTGTATTGAAACTAAGGTGGTTTTTTTCATGCCTGGTGGTAGGACACTCTGAAGGTGCCTGTGGTCAAGGTCAGGTTTGATGGGTGTCCTCGTTTGGAGTTCTGAATAGGAAGGTGTAAGAGGCAGCAGGTGCTGTCTGGACCCACACATCCATGGCCATGAGAGAACTTGGGAAGTGTCCAAATAGTTCATACTATATACTTGTGTATATATATGTTATATACCTCTCCTCTGGAGACAGGCTGGGAGAGTTGGGGCTGTTCAGCCTGGAGAAGAGAAGGCTCCCGGGAGGCCTTCCAGCACCTTCCAGTGCCTGAAGGGGCTACAGGAAAGCTGGAGAGGGGCTTTGGACAAGGGTGTGTAGTGACAGGACACGGGGCAATGGCTTTGAATTGAAAGAGGGGAGATTTTGATGGGATCTGAGGGAGAAATTCTTCCCTCTGAGGGTGCTGAGGCACTGGCACAGGTTGCCCAGAGAAGCTGTGGCTGCCCCATCCCTGCCAGTGTTCAAGGCCAGGCTGGATGGGGCTTTGGGCAACCTGGTGTAGTGGAAGGTGTCCCTGCCCATGGCAGAGGGGTTGGAATTAGATGACCTTTGAGGTCCCTTCCAACCCAAACAATTCTAGGATTCTATGACTGTTTCCCAGATGACTTGTACTCTTTGTTTTGACTTCTGAGGACACTTCTGGTCAGACACTAGATGGAGATTTTTGGTGACTGATTCAGAACTGGAAGCTGCAGCAGTGTAGGTGAGCCGCCTCTGCTCTCCACAGATGTCTCCTCCTGAGCACATGCTTGGCACGCTTCTCCTTTTCCACAGAGAAGTACTTCATTACTCCAATGTGGGAGCCTGGCTTGGGGCCAGCCTTGGCAGAGGCTGTGTTGTCTGTATCCTGTGAAGATTCAGGACATGGTGTAAGGCTGAGGCTGCACATTCTGGAGGTCAGAGCTTTCAGCTGGTAATTTATGTTCTTTTCTTGCTTTGTATCTAACCAACATCCAGATCTTGCACTCAAACGTGATTCCTGTCTTGTTTAGCACCTAACCGGGCAACTGCAGTTGGACTCTTGAGGAGCTGCAATAGAGCTTTTTTCAGTGAGAAGGCAAAGAAAGTGTTAAAGTTTAACTTGGATTATTTCATTGATCCACTCTTCAGTACAAACCCACGAGTATTGATATTGTTAAAGCTGAGGAAGAAGAAAGAGAATGAACAATCAAGGTCTGAGTGAGAGTGCTGCCCAGGAACATCTACCCCTAGGACTACACCTTTTGAGCCAGTTTCTTTGATTTAGGCTTCATTGTTCAGCTCATACTCAAACGTGTGCTTTGAACGTGTTTCTGAGGACTTGGATACAATTTCGGAGTGGTTTTGGGACAAAAGTGTTTGGAGGAACAGCACAAAGAGCTGTAGGGGACTGGGAACCAGTTGGTCGTCATGTTTATGCAGAGGGTGTGAAATGAGGTTTCACATCAAACCAGTGCGGAGGGTAACTGCTTGCTGCCTTGAACTCTGGTGGGTTTTGGGGCCAGAAATGACAAGAGATCCTTCATGTTCAAGAGCAGTGTCAGTGCTTTAACAAATTCGCTCCTGCTTCATGTTACGCTGGTGTTGAATAATTATTTTGAAGTCTGCTTTGGGGAATTCTGGTATTTGCACCACCTGGTAAATGGAATTTAAATCTCCAGTTGACCTGCGGCACGTGACAATGCCTCTGGATAGACCTTTCATCGAAAGCAGCTCAGGGGATCTTGTGCTAAGGAGGAATTACAAGTCTGGCAGCCCCGTAATTGAGGTTAATCACGTAACTGACAACCATCTCCAGAGTCAAATTGGCTGTATTGGGAAAAACATTTTCTAATACTGCGACTTACGATGAGAATAACTATATGGCTTGGATACTGCGAAGCTGTGCGTTGGACTGTCCGTTATGTAGCCAAAATTGATAGATTTGGTGGTTTTTTTCATGGGTAAACTGAGGGTTTCAGCAGAGCGTAGATAAATAATTTAATATTTAGTCCTGCTTGTTGAACTGAAAAGAAAAACCAGTTAAATTTGCGAGTAAACTTAATCTTTTTTGAACTAAAATTCATAGAATCATAGAATGGTTAGGGCTGGAAGGGACCTTCAAAGGTCATCTAGTCCAACCCCCCTGCAAGGAACAGGGATATCTCCAACTAGATCAGGTTGCTCAGGGCCTCGTGTAATAAGCTTTCAGTCTTCCAGGAGTTTGTGTTGTGTGGCTTTCTTCAAACCGCTGTCAGCGGAGAACGGAAAATTGTAGTTAACCCTGAAATAAATGTTGACTGATAAATGGATGTCACGGCAATTCTAAACACTTCACTTCTTTGTTTTCGCAGATGGAGCTGAAGAAGAAAAGATGGAAACAGAGACAGATGGGCAGCAGTCTGAGAAGGTAAGCTCGGCTCAGTACGCTGGCTCTGGAAAGCTATTGCTGACACTTACAAACCTGAATTACTACGATCTGAAATGCCTGGTAAGAGAGGTAGATGCTAGCGTGCTGGCCAACATACGTGTCCATAGGCAACAGTTTTTGGTCTGCGTTGTGGTTCTTTTTTTAAAGAGTGATTTAGTCTCAAACCCTACAGGGACATGTCTTTCGCTGGGCAAACAGCAATGAGGTGTGGTTTTTTTCTAGTCCTGAGGAAAAGAGGCTTGGAGTGGGAGAAAGTGTAAACTGGGCGATACCGAGTTACTTAGAGGCTTAAGCTGCAGAAGGACATGGGTACTTTATGGTCCATCACGGGTGGTGGTCTAAAGCAAGCGTCACTTTGAAGTCTTGCCCTAGAAAAGTTTGTCTTGTGACAAATTGCCTCCCAAAGTTGAATACGGCGTTCAGCTCTGGCAAGATCCGAGAGATCAGGGCTTTCCAGGAAATTGGGTGAGTTTGGGTTACTCACAGTATTTGGCAACCGTTTCTGAGCGCGGGGTGTGGAGCTGAACCTGTCATCCCGGCTGCGTCGCAGCTCTCCAGCGACAGCGTGAGTTACGTATCTGTCGGTCTGCGTGGCTGAGATGGGGGAGGATGAGATTTGTCTGACTAGAGGAAGGTGCCCATAGCTGAACTGGTCAATAAAACTCCTCGTTGCAAGAAGTCTGGCCTAACTCTTGGTTAGAGGTTTGTGTATGGTCTACTTTTGATGTTAGGTATGATGCATCCTGCTCATAAAGATGAGAGGTTTAGAAACGAATCCTTTCAACCAGTTGGTAGTGCCTACAAGAATGCAGTTGTTTGGGGCTTTTTCGTAACACAGCACCTCCTTTCAGATAGTCGGCAGTAACGGCACTGGCTGTGATCGCTTCAGACCTAAACTGAAATTCAACTGATATCCTGGGACTAGAATGTCACCCTGCTAAGTAAATGGTGGTGGGTGCTTATTGTGTCTGCAGCAACAGGTGGGCCTGTGAGAACCTCATGGAGTTCAACAAGGCCAAGTGCAAGGTCCTGCACGTGGGTCGGGGCAATCCCAAGCACAAGTCCAGACAGGGTGGAGAATGGATGGAGAGCAGCCCTGAGGAGAAGGACTTGGGGGTGCTGGTGGATGAGAAGCTCAACATGAGCCGGCACCGTGCGCTGG